AAGTGATTTTTATTCCCAAGACCATTTTCAAATAGAATCCATAATATGAGAAACAAAGGATTTCAGAGAAAAAAGGTTTCTGCAAGTGACAGAGTAACACTGTTATGGAGTTCAGCCTAACCCTTCACCAGGGTACATAAGATACAAATTATTTTACAGTGGCATTAAATTAAAGATGCAGATGAGTTTAAAAGTAGCTACATGGTTTGTCAGGCAAATGTGTTCCCTGCCCGTATAATTTATTATTCTTAAAATATACACACGAACATAAATGTCACACAAACATCTGCAGCACACCATTTCTATCTTCTTTGGCTCTAAGGAAAGCAGAATATAAAAATCCTGCACCCAAATGCATAATTTTGATAGAAAAATGTAACTCTAACAGAAGAATGATTAATGGCCACACAGGAATTTTCCTTACAATACAAAACTTCTGCTATTATTAATAACCTGCAGCACATATTGAAACAGTTTGCAAACCACACACTATTTCAGCCAGTCCCTGATCGTGGTTTATATGTTCTCTTCTTGTGGCACTACTGGCAATATAGATTTTTGTTTTACAGTGGGGTTTTACTAAATAACTATTTTTATTTCATCAGAAGTGCCCCTCTACCTCTTGACCTTATATTTAAAGCTTAGAAACTAAAGTCAGAACTCTATACAAAAATGGAGACACATTGAGTCATTCCATACATCTGCCCTGAGACTAAAGTTGAAAAATATTTGTCTTGTTACTAGAAGCATGAATTATCCAAGCATAGGTGCTGAGAGAGAAAAATTCAACCGGCTTGTATAACCAGTTGTAGATAAAACAGCAAACGTAACCTCAAAATACTTTCTTACTCTCAAAAAAACTGTAGAAAACAGCATTAAATAAGTCAAGAATTACTTCTCACAATTATTCTACTTGGAAATAAAAAGAACTGACTGAATGAGCAAATCAAACTGTACTATTTGTGACTGTCTCTGCTCAGATCAATTTTCCCTGAAAATAGCCACAGGACTTAAGTGACCATTACTATGGCACAGATGTCCTTCACCAAGAGTGAGCTGGGGAAGTCTCCAACCTCAATTCCTGATGTTAGTTTGTATCTTAATATAAGAGAACAAGCATAAAGAAAAGTAATGGAATCTAAAGTTATTTTCCTGCCCAGACAAGTCTTTGAGCGAACACATTACCCTGACCTTTAAAGATTCTCAACTCAGATCACACTGCCTGGCAAAGAGGTGAACAGTTCTGCCCCTCCTCATAAAGAAAACGGGGAGTATCACATGAAGTTCTCAGGTAACAGGTTGCAAAGAGAACAGAGGAATGACTTATTCACACAAGACATGAAGTGTAGTGCCTACTGACAGAAAACGTGGGAGCTGCAAAAACCATGCACGGGCTCAGAATTTTTTATAAATGAAGTATATACATTAAACAGAAATCTGTACAAAACATCATCCCTGCTGAAAGACTGGGAGAGCTGACCTAAGGAGTAGCCCTATATGCCTGCCCAGGGAAGAGTGTAAGAATAAAGCACCTGCTGTCAAATACTGTCAGCTGTGGCAGACAAGCAGGGCTTGAAACAATGGTCCTATCATACACCAGGATCTCAGAGCTTTAGACTTCAAGAGAAAATAGCAGATTAAACTCAAATGGCTGTTCCTGTGAAGAATGGTCTCTGCGTTGCCCCCTCCAAAAAACCCCAAACACACACCACAAACAGAAAGAAACTACAACTACTGCTCCAGACAATCCCTTCTCCAAGAGAAAGATGGAACAATGGTTTGAGACTGTGATACTATCCATAAAATATTTAGCCCTCTAATCATGCCTGAGAAGATAATTTCCTTCCCCACCTTTCACAGTCTTTTTTAAAAGACATCCAAAGAAACAAAAATGGACTACAGAAAGATCTTTTCCATCATCACTGTAATTAAAGCAGGTTGACCATTTTATTCAAATGACAAAAGGCTTCTAGTGACTTTTAAATGACAACTTATACAAAGCTGGGGAAAGTAACACACAATTTCAGGGGAAAAAAGATGCGCTATTTAAATAGTTCAAATATGTATTAAGATATTGAGGGGAAAAAAAAAACCAGAACAACAATGCCATAACACTTTTTTGTCATCTGAAAACTCAAAATACTTCAAGTCACTGTCAGTCACACAGCTCTGTACTCCAGAACACAGTTATGAAGAGCACACCACTAAACACCATTCAGTGCTAGAGAGAATATTAAAGGCACAGGCAGAGAACCTTTAATGTATTGAAGCAGTACCTTTAATGTGTCTCACAGTCTGCTGACACACAATGCACAGCCACACAATTGCTCAGAAACATGGACTTTTGAAAGCTAGTCAAGAAAACCCTGCCACCTTCCTCTAACCCAGCAACACAAGCAGGAATCCCAACAATTGTATCCATGGCTGGATATAAGCTAACATAACTTTATCCTAGAATACTTATTCTTTTTAGTAAGCATCATCACCATGCATAATAAATTACAAAAAAAAACAAAAACAAAAACAACTGAATAAACCACAAAAAGTACTGATTAGTTGTACGTGGAATCCCAATGACCTTCCCATCCTAAAGGACATTCAGGTTTTTGGTTTTGTTTGGTTTTTTGGTGGCTTTTTGGTTTTGGTTTTGTTTTTTTTTTTTACACAAACTGAAAATTTCTTTTCTTTATGTTATTTCCTTGTGCATACTACTGATTTCTTCAGACTAGCATTGTAATTATGGTGAAGCTTCCTTCTCAAAACAGGTTGTAGCAAGACTGTAGGCCCTTTTAAATTATGCAGACTCACTTGGTGAAGATACAGCTTCAAAAAGCTTACTATGTTCCCAAAACATCACATCCCCCATATATGCAATCTTATTTTTAAAAGACTATGGTCCATGCTGAAAGGAAATTTAGGAAGCAAAACACGGCAGAGCAGATCTATCAGTTGCACAGAGCTTTACCTATCAAGAGTCTTGATGTACTTGGAGGGGTGAGGGGAGAGAGGCAGGAACAGCTACCCAAAACCTTGTTAAAGCTTGAAAGAGACGGTACATGAAGACAAACTGTGCCAACTGCAGTCCCCTGCTACAGTTCTGTTCATCTGCAACACATCACACAAAGCCAGTGCTCTGAGATCAGAACTGAACGCCCATGTTGACAGACTCAGCAATATCAGTATTCTTTTATGGATAAATAATCCAGTTATGCTTCCAAGCACCACAAAATAAATCCCCAAAACAAATAAACAAAAAGCACCAAACATAAACAAAAGCAGGACTTTGTACTTTTCCCTTGAAAAACAAAACCAAGGTATCTGGTATCAGACATGCCTGTAGGTCACTGAAAAAAAATTTCTGAGAAAAATATCAGCGTTCCTCAGCACTGCTGGACTTTGAACATGTACACATTAACTTTCAGCCACAACAGGAAAAAATAAATACTTTTCAGGTATCTGTCAGAACTTAATTCTCTGTAAGACAAGGATTCAGGCACCTCACAAATAAAGAGTCCTCCTACAATTCCACCCCCCTGACATTAGAGAAAAACAAATGTGTCTCTGCTCACCCTGAGAAGAGACTGCTCTGAATCTTCCAGACTTTATCTCATAGTGAAAAACATTCAATACTAAAACCAGACTGAGGCAGTCTGGATTAAACAGATGGCACTCTATTTAGAACAGTTTCACTGTTAATAACATGATAATGCCATTCCTCCTGAAACTCTTCTCGTGCACTTCCAATATCCCTATTAAAAAAACCCTGAAACCCATAAGTAGTTTTACATCAAAATATATTCTAATAAAAGGTACTATAACCTGTCCCAAAATTCTGCCGGCATCATGCAATAATCAGTGTTTGTTCTCATTTTTATAAAAGTATCAGAAATTAACAAAACGGAGTTTGTATTCTGCTAACAAAAACCAGTATTACTGTATTCAGGAATAATTTAAGTCTTTATAAGTCACTGACTATGTAGTTATCTTTTACCAATCTCTTTTCAGACGAAGGGGACTATGCACTCAAGCTTGATGAACGCAAAACAAAATTTTAATTAATCAGATACGAAGGCAATTGTCACTTCTCAATCACACAGCGGCAGCATGCAAAACGTCGAGCCCCCGGAGACAAGTGCTCGGCGAAACCAAGTAACCATCCCACTCAAGAAGCAGCTGTCAAGAGAATTCTTAACTTCCACTTACCTTTCAGTGCACTTCCAGGATTTCGGGATGCCTCCCCGCTTCTCCTACGGAAACAAACACCAGCGCTCCTTTAAGACATACCCACTGCAAACCAAAAGCCAGCTCCTGACACCAGCCGGGCTTGCGAGCACCTCCGCTTTCCCGCACGGCTTCTCCCGCTGCCGGGGCACGCCCCGAGGGCGGGCACAGAGCGGACACTGCCCGGGCCCCGCCGCCGCTCCCAGGGCAGGGCGGGGGAACGGCGCTCTCACAGCACGGGCAGGGGGCTCCGGCCGAGGGCAGAGAGCGGGGGGGACAGGGAGCGGGGAACGGGAGAGGGAGCGGGGACGGGAAAGAGGACGGGAGAGGGAGCAGGAACGGCAGCGGGAGCGGCGCTGGCGCACAGGGAACAGTTCGCGCCCCCGCACGCACAGACCCTGCGGGGCTTCCGTCCGTGTCTGCACCGCCGGCAGCGACCGACTCCGGCGGGCAGCCAGCGAAGGGCGCGGGCCCCGCAGTGCCAGTGCGAACCCAGCCCCTTCGCCCCCCGCCCGGCGCCGCCGCCCCCTCACCCCGCTCCGCCGCCGCCGCCAGACCCGCACCTCAGCAACGCGCCCGCCCATTGGGCCACGCCTCCCGCAACAAGCGCCGCACCGATTGGCCGCTCTCCCGTCAGCGTCTCCTTCCCCTCAGCCCCTCGGCCCGAGCCGGCGCCGGTGGTCCCTGCGCGGGTCCTGCCTCGTCGGGCCGGGGCAGGAGGGCTGCCGGTGGCAGCGGGGCGGGCGGCAGCCCCGCAGCCTCCGCACCCGCGCCAGGCCAGCAGGAAGGATCGGAACGAAAGCTTCCCGGAACCCGCGTGGCTGGCTGCGCTTCCTATAGCGGCTGGTCCTCTCTCGGCTTCCGCTTCCGGGTGGCGCTGCGTCCTGAGCAGGGTCGCGGAGCGGGCAGGTACCGGGGACGGGAATGGGAACGGGAACGGGCCCTGCCCGCCGGAAGGACCCGTGTGCTGGCTGGGCAGGGCAGCGCAGGCAAGGGTGGCTGTCGCTCTGGGCTGTGCCCTCCATGCCCCGCGCGGGCCGCCCCTCGGGCACGGCCCGTGCCGGCCCTGCGGGCGGGGTTGCCCGGCTGGTGCCGCAGTGCAGCCCCCCAGCCGTGCCAGAGCATGACCTCCTTGTACAGTGGTGAACGTTGGTAGCAGAGAGGTCTTGTTTTTTTCTGGCAAGGCTGCAGGCTGGGGTTTAATTCGGTGGGGGAGGTATTTTCGGGTAGTGACAGCGTTAATGCTTCTCTCCGAGTTTCCCTCTGCAAGAAAACCCTTTTCGCTTGCCTACAGGGCTTGGAGTCTTCTTCAAGAGTTACAGGCACCTCTGTATTCCAGTCAATTTTCCTAAAAGTTCAGGACACTAAATATGGGAAATCTTGGCTCAAAGAAGTCTCAGGTGCTTTGTGAAAATGGAGACTTCAAAGCTGTCATTATTTTCTTCCAGTCCTTCAGGATCTCCCTGAAAATGTTCACCTTCCTATCGGCCTTGATCACTGTTTTTAAAGAGAAGCTTCATATTTTTGTAGTTGTCTAAGGTGTATGTAAATAGAGTGTGTATTTTTCAGCCTCATCAAATGACTGGTAAGGTGTATCTCCTTGCCCGCTCGTCTCTCCTGGACCTGTTGATCACCATGGTTACATTTCACTGAACTAGAGGCAGCTGAAAAGGAGCTGAGCAGCCGAGCCTTTGTTCCTCTCAGGTTTTTCTTCAGAGCTTGGCGCTCATAGCTCTGCCATACCTAGATTAGAAGCTTTCATTCTGAAGTCTTTTTGATGTATTGTGGAAAGCCTGTAAGATAATGGGCCCTGGTGTTGCTGAAAGGGCATTTATAGACATTGGAAGCCATTGGTTTGCTTACCCTCTTCTCTGGCACAGGAGATTTGCACAGCTGCTCCAGGGGTGTTGTGATGGTGGTGACTTACAACACAGCATCACTGAACTCTGCCTGGTTTGCTTTACTGGGTGTAATCACCCACTTCTGAAATGCAGCGTGAAGTCTCTGAGCTCTTCGTTTTACAGAACAAAGCTCTTTGTTCTCTGTTCCTTTGTGTTACCTCCCCATTTTACCTGTACAGGGGATTGTTCTTTGCAAGTGTGTGAAAACAAGACGACGCTCTCTCTGTGAAGTAACAGACTTTCCTTTTGCTGCAGGTATGGGACACGGAAATGAACACGGCCATGGCCATGGCAAAATGGAACTCCCTGACTACAGGCAGTGGAAGATAGAGGGCACCCCACTGGAGGAGGTCCAGAGAAGGCTGGCTAAGCGGGGTCTTAGGGATCCGTGGGCTCGGTAAGTGCAGCAGCCTCAAAAATAACCTTGATGTGTTGTCTTGTAGCATCAACTGGACCTTGTCACTGTAGATCATTCTTTCTTTGGTAAAAACAGTGAAAATTGGTTAGAATTTCAGTTAAGTGTTTGTGTACTTTTTGTGTAGAGGTCACACCTTCCATCCCCTTGACCAGTCTCCACACACTGCAAGGCAGCCTTGCCTTTTCGTGATGTTCTGTGATGATACAGCTCAGGCACAGTGACCAACACCTCACCCCCCTCAGTAATACTAGGTCTGCACATGTAAGTAAGCCTGTCCTTCTCTGCAGAGAGACTGTGTGCTCAGATCCTGATGAGAAGCCAATGGAATTGACATTCTGAGTAGGAGCAGCATTCCTCATACGCAACAGGAGGCCTTTATTTGAAAAGAAGTGTATTTATGTACAGGGTGGAATTGCATTCAACTGTGCACTTCATTTGGCTAAAAGTGAATGACATAATGGAGGATCAGCTTTTATCTCTTAAGCTGTCCCACTCTACAGTGAGTATCTCCTCCTTTTTTGATAGAGCAATTCTGGATCATTTAGGAAGCTGTTTAAACAGGGCTTAATGTATTTCTCCCACCTAGTGAATTATGCAATACTTTGCTCAACCACCTTTTCATCTTGGGGAATAAAAATGCTAAATGTCTTGTGCTGTGTCGTCTGTTTCTTCTGTAAGGAAAAAGTTGCATGAGCAAACTATTCCAGGAGCCTTCATAGAAAAGGCTTTACTTCAAATCACTACAAGAAAAATGGAAGAGCAAATAGGTAATCTGTTAGAAAGTTGTTTCATGCTACAACCTCTGGAGGGGTTTGGGATTGACAGCACTTTTTTCGTTCCTTTGAAATAGTTTAAAGCTCTGAACATAAAGTAAAACATACTTTTAATGATGACAGGAATCTTTTGAAATATCAGTCCTTAATGAATTTTCCAGGCCAGTATCACATTTATCTTGCCTCTATTTCTGTGGCTTTCCACCTCTATGGCAAATGCACATTAATGTACATATTCAATACAGAATAAGCTTTCTGAAAGATGTCATATTTGGAAACTTTAAGCCTGTATCAATTAGACCCTATACTGGCATCTAGACAATACACTTCCATGCCCAAATGTTTTCATCCGGAGTCACGAAATCCATCTGCACAAGGGAATTGTCTGTGAACATAAATACCTGACCCCCTTGTTTTAAAACCCTGTATCTTCTCCTGGAAGGACAGTTCTGATTTTATTGGTTGGTTCTTTTTTCTTTTCTTAAGGACTTCTGAGTCCTTAGAAGATATAAACTGCATCCATCTCTGTAGGTAACAGTGGTCCTACTACACATAAATGTTGGTAGTCAGCTAGTGACTAAGGTTTCAGTAAGAATGTGTGTTGACAACAGTAAGGCAAAACAGTGTGAAGTTTGTAAGTATTCCGTAGCTAAAGCTAAATACAATCTCTTCAGTCTTTTTTTTTTTTTTTAATCATCTGAACCTAATATGTTGTATTGTGAAACAGAAAGTGCCTCCACACTAGGATGAGTTTTTTATGTCTGGAAAAACTTTCCTTGTAAGATTTAACTATTCTAGATACTGTCTAGCACGGTGAGGAGCCTTTGTAGTTAGTCCATCCCATGGAAGGGCTAGTGGGTTCTGATTTTTGTTTCACAGTAAAAACAGATGACAACAATTACAAAAACTTGGGGAGGTGGTTCTTTTCCTGTAACTATGATGTTTCCTGGAGTTACTTGTATTTCAAATTATACCTGTAAAGATTTAAGAGTTAATATAGTGAACTTTACTTGTGGTAACTCCTGGTACTTAAATGACAGAACATTCTATAGAGGTTCAAAGTATCTCTAATATAAATACCTTCAGCAAGCATTCTTTACAAACAAAGATGTTCCTGCTCATGTTTATCACAGTGGCTCCACTGATCTTGTTTTTAATTTTGGTTTCATTTTTCTTCTAGTAATGAAGCCTGGAGATTTATGGGTGGCTTTGCAAAACCTGTCACCATAACAGAAGTCTTTACTAGAGGACTCAAGTGGGGATTTGCAGCTTTTGTCATAGCTCTTGGCATTGAATATACACTGTTTCCTCCAAAGAAAAGTGGAGGCCATCATTGAAGATCAAATATGACAACTTAATACTTACTAATTGTAAGCTGAAACACACATAAGCCTGCTGCTCACTCTGTACTTATAATATGCATATTAAAGTCTATCACAGGCAAAACCACGTTTGTTTGATTTTATTATACTTTTGAGGAAGGATCAAAAAACACAGCCAGAGCAATTTAACTGACCTTGATCTGGGGGAAAAACAACACAAGACTGCTCTTGGGTTTGATGTACCACCCTTTAAAGAACAAGGGAAACTATCAGACCAGTTCTTTCAAGCCCTGCCAACATTCTGTTAGATGAAATTGAGAACTATGTTGCTTTTAAGAGAAAATTTGTACTGTATTTGTTACAGGTTTAATAACTATTATTTGCCAGTAAGTGGTAATGAATGATCTGTCATTTCTTAGATGTATATGTTACTATTCGCTCTTATGTCTCTAAATAAAAATATTGCCTTAGAGCTTTAAAAACTACCCCAAATTGCCTCAAAGTATGTATGAAAAGACCAAGACTTATACTTAGTCTTATTGAACAGATAATGAACTTGGCAGACACTATGCACCAAAATAATCTGCTGTGTAATATCCAGACATTAAAAATTACATTGCTGCCACATTTGCTTAGTAAAGTGGAATAAAATCAACTCAGCACTAACTGTAACTTACCTTAATATGACTTCCAATATACTTGACTGTACTGTGAAAAAGAGAAAGAAAAATTCTTTTTTTTCTTTGTTCTGGTGTATTAAGTACATATTTATTTTTACACCTAGAGTATTTTAATACTTTGTTTTAAATGTCCTGGTTTTCCTTAAATGATCTAACAGTTTCTGGAGTGTTTTAAGGATGCCTGGAATTAAGACTACAGAAGAAATGGGCTTGTGGGCAGTATATGTCCTCTGCAGTGCTAGGAATTAGAATTGACTGAATATCCTACTGTAAATTTTGTTAAGCCATTAGTCACAAAGTAAGGAGGATATGTTATATCATTTTTCAATCCAAGCAACAGGATATCTGTGTCACTAAACAGAAAAGCAAAATTAGACAAAAGAGTGAGAAACTGTAAATGTCCCTACAAAATTATATATTGTACTTCCATGGTGAAGAAACCAAAAATTTTATGTAACCCTGTCAAAAATTGCAGATTTACAAAAAAGTTGAAAAGTCCTAGCAAAACGTAGCTAATTTTTTTTTTAAATATATATATCCACACACAACCTTTTTAAGTGAGATAATAACAGAGCTTCATTCTTAAAGCCAATAAGCAACATATGTTACTGTGTGAGTGCAGCTGTACTATTCAGTGGAGTTTGTCATCTTTGTATGACATTGCTCAAGGCACTGTTCATAGTGCCAATATTGATTTTACTAAACTTTTTTTGCCTAATTGTTTCCTCAAACATTCGTATCCAGTTGCGTCATTCCCCAAAAAACAAATCAAGAACCTACTGTGTAAGGTCTGTTGCACAAAATATTTCCATTGTCCCTCAGGCAGTAACATCCAGAATACATATTTTCAAAGGGTGGTATTCACTGCTTGTTTTCTATCTGGGTCCAAGAATAAACTTCCTAAGAGCACTGAATTTTAGATAGAAAAACAATTACCAGAGCTAGCATTACGTGCGGTAGAATCAGTCTTTTTAAATGTTATAAGCCTCCCTCTTCACTGATAGAACAAATGTATCAAGCATATTCACTGTTAGACTAGACTAGTTTAGGTGAAAGTCATGCATTTATGAATTATCATTCAATGGTTTAATAGCCAGATGGCAGTCATTGCCCTAAACAACTGCCTTTAATTTCTGATGAGCATATTTTGCCAATATTGTGGAATGTAAAAATGTCTCATCATTATAAGACATACAATACTCATAAAGATTTTTCTTTCACATGTATAGTAATACAAATCCTGCCTGGGGATGGAGTGTTTCCTGTGTATGAAAATAATAGTACCAAATCTGTCTTCACTGTAACCATAGCAATGGTTGTCCTTACAATGCCTGTCTCACAGCATAGATATTTTACAGTGCAAAAAACAGGGTCATAAACTGCAATGGCACCTGCAGGTAAGGAACATACATGATTGTAATACCACAGTCAGGAAGCTCTTTTTGTATCTGATGCTCCATTTTCTGAAATGCAGGTGGAAATCCCATCTCCATCAGCAGTCAAAAGAGCTATTTTTGCTCCCTTGGAAAGATACTTGTGATTTATCTATTGTGTTTGCTTATTCTACCATTGATATTTACATCATTAGCATAATCTTCCAAATTTGTATGTTACAGAAAATCAGCTAAATTATTCCAGTAGTGACTACATTGCAGTATAAATTGTCTCTCTCTGAAACTCCTATTTCAGAGCATAATAGAATAACTGTTCTCATTACATAAGGCACTTGCAGTTTAGACACCAGACTGTCACCATGCATTATTACACTGCCTTGAATCACTCCTGAAAACCTTCATACAAAAAATTCCATTGTGCTCTCAAACTACGAGCTTCTATCCTGCAATTAGATCTTTGCCAGATCAGCTTTTATTAGCTAGACTTTATACATCAATGCAAGTGTGTTTTTTCTGTGTGGGGCTAATTGAAGTTAGGAGTATTTGCTTCAAGGGCTTTGACAGGAATACACTCAGGACCCATGCTTGTCTTCCAATTAAATTTACTGATTTCATTGTGGGTATCAAAACATTCAGGAATTCATCCAAACTCTTTTACATGATGTCAAGGAACTGATTTTACAGATGTTTTATACATTCTCTGTCCTCAATTGTAGGCCAAAGAGAAATCCGAAAGTCAGATAATCTAATCCTTTCACCATTATTCCAATGGAAAACTCCTTGAAAATTAGTCACTTTCCTTAGTGATTGAGCCTTTTTTAAATAATAATAATGAAACCAACACATAACAAACTAGTGATACCATTTGTATATACAGATGGAACACAGTCATCCTGATCTAATTATGAAATTATAGCATAAAAGACAAGTGCATAGTATTTTAGGAGACATAAATTCTTACGAGTTTTTTACTTACATAACTAGGAGAATATACAAAATTAAATAGACCAAACCTGCTATTAAAGCATATCACCTGTTATGAAAGCATAATGAAAGAAATATGTCCAAGTGAGAGATTTATATCCGGAGCCCTCTGCATTGAAACATATAGGACCATCTCTTTTCCATCACATTGAATCTTACTGCTGTGCTCCATGTTGTAAATTTATACTAATTTACAGTTCTAGTTTACATGAGTAGCTGTGGAAGACAACGTAGTGTTTCAACACAGAAATGAGGAGAATGAAGAACTTTGCATACAACTTCCAAATGCTGCCTATAAAAATATGAAAACTATTTAATAAAAATTAGGTACATTTAAGGGAAAAGCAGAGCACGTAAACAGAAGAGGTAGCTCCAGTAATGGCTTTGTTAAATGGGTAAATCACTCATTCTTCTTACATAAAAGAAAAAAATAATTCTTCTTTTGTAAGTCTCCAGCCATACCATCTCCTTAAACCTCTTTTATTAGACTGTACAAATCTTTTATGTGTTTGCATGGAACAGCTCCAAGGAGAAAGTGTACATATTGATTCACAGCAGGTAGATGGTTTCTTTCTGAATCAGTGCCAATCCAATGCCGCACCTTAATAGCCGGGATACTGGGATATCCTTGAATGACTGATATTACAGTAAGAGCCTGACCACACAGTTTCAGTAAGAACACAGGTATTTTTTTCAGAACAAAGAGCTGTCACTTGGTACCTGGCCAAATTCTACTGTGGGTAATTACTTTCTGCCTCCTTTTCCCCTGCAATTCCAAAGACAGTATGAATGTGTGTGTGCTATCCCAGAGTACTGTGCTTCCACTGCTCTATTTTTAGCAGCACAAAAAAAAATGACTCGCTGTAAATGCTTTGAAATCCATTGAGCTGAGAGTTGCATGTATCTAATTTCACCACATATGGAGGTGGCTTTTGTCTAGTTCAGCAGACGCAATAGCTCAGAATTTTAGATTTTAGGCCTTTTGGAGAGCAGCTCCAGCTGCACCACTAGCAGCTCGGTAAATGGCTTCATGGAAGTTGCTGGGAATCGCAACACCCAGTCTTCAGGAACAAAGCATTAGTTAGTATTTATTTAAGATTATACAACGGGAAGCATACAACTTCAACACACCTCTACATTATCCTCACTATGAACGAACGAATTCATATAGAGCAAGACATGAACCAAGTAGAGGCTTACATCTGCCTAAACCCCAGCCAAAACAAGTACTCCCACTGAACTCAGGTCTGCAGCTGCTCATTAAAAAACGCTCTACTACTTAAAAGCTCCCAGGGCAGTACAGAGCCGTCCTGTCTGTCCCCGTACTAGCAGCGGTACAAAAACACAGCCTACAAACGCCTGTGCACATACCGAACCCAGGACCGCGCTCCCGCTACTCCATCCCCTCCCAGCGCTGCCCGCCCTCGGCAGCCGCTCCGTGAATGTCCGAGGAAGGTGCCGGGCGGTGCCGCACGGCCCGGCCCTGCCCTGCCCGGCCCGGCCCTGCCCTGCCCTGCCCCGCCTCCGTCGTGCGGGAGCCGGGCGGCCGCATTTAGGCCCTGCTCCGCGCCCCGTCTCCCGGAGCACAACCGGAACAGACACACAGCTCCTCACCCCGTTCCGCCTCGGCCGGCCGGGCCGGCACCGCCTCCGCCTCCTCCCTGCTCCCAGTGGCGGACGCGAGTGCCGTAGATGGGACCTCCCCGGCGTGTCTGGGTGCGTTCTACCTTTCCCCCCTCCTTTCCTCACACTCCCCCCCTCACGCTGCGTTCTCAGGGTAGGCGGCTCACACACCGTGCTCCGGGGTCGGGTCCTCTCCCCTGTGTCCGGGCGAGCGGCGGGGCTGTGGCCGGGCTGTGGCCGGAGCGTCCGGCGCAAGGGAGGCCTGAGCCTGGCCTTGGCTCGCGGGGAAAACCGAAACCGAATGCGGTCTAAAATGACGTAGTTAGAAATTTGAGTGGAAAACTGCATAAACCACGTCTAGTTGTTGTTTTCTGTGTGTTGCTGGGGTGGCGGGTATTGTTAGGAGGACTGGGGCGTTAAAAGTAGCGCATACCTAAAAAGCTTTA